GCATACACGTGCATGCAGGTTCAGAGTCAGAGGAGAGGTGCAGGCTAGAGACCCACATTTGTAGCTGTCAATGTATGGGTGGTATTTAAAGCCATGAGCCTGAATTAGGTCTCCAAAAGGGGAGAGATCAAAGCACTAAGCCCTGGGGCATCGCGTGTCTAGAGGTAAGAGAAATGAGGACAGAACACCAAAGGAGACTGAAATAAGTGGTCAAAGCAAAAAGAAAACCCACCTGGAGGTGATGTGAAGAGTTTGTCAGGGAGGAAGGAGTGATTAAATGTGGCAAGGACTGCGGGAGGTCAGGAACTACTGAGAACTACTGTGGTATGTATTAATAGCACCATGGATAGAGACCACTGGAGACACGGGGAGAAGTAGCTTTGCTTGAGAGGTGGAAGCAAGAACCGTGGACTATGGGTCAGAAGCTTAAAGAAGTGAAATAAAATCGGGGGTGAAATGTAGACGTTAGTTAGACTCATCAGTGTTTATGTGGCCATAAGCAAGTATGAGATTTTTCTGGGGGGCGGGGGAATGTGTAAAACATGGAGAAAAGAAGGCTGAAAATAGAATCCTACAGAATATCAACATTTAAGGGGTTAGTAGAGGACAAGAAAGGAGACTAGGTGTGTCCAGAGTGGTGGGAAGCAGATCAAAACAGAGCCGTGTTCTAGAAACCAGAGGCAAAGAGAGTGCTGCAGATGAAGGAGAAATCAACAGGAACAAAAGGCTTCCAGTGCAGGCCAGCCAAATCCACGCTTTCTCCTTCCCAATCCCACATCTCTTCTCTTACAGGACATTGCACTTATGGGTGGTAGCAGATACTATCAGCTCCAAAGACTGAAGGAAAGAAATGTGTACCCTGCTCCCGCACCCCTCCAGTGGGCTAGTTTTGAGTCGTAGGTCTCATATAGGACACTACTTTCCAGACTTCCCACGGAATTAAGCTCTAGGTGCCCAGCAGGCTCAGTCCTTTAATGATGGAAGAAAGAAAGTGCTCTTTATAATTTAAAATGATAAATGATTTAAACCTATAATTATAGGAAAATTTGAGGTTCCAGGAAAATCTCATTTTATTTAAGGCTAATCATGGTAATGAAAAGTGCATGGCTAGTGTTTAGTGCTTCCTGATGCTACCTATACTCATCTATCTCTGGCCAAGCATTGATAGTAAGTACTCAAAGAAATAGTATTGCATTATTTCTCCCAAATGAACACACAACTCAATTGGAGAAATTCAGACTATGTTTTATCAAGATCCCAAAACTACGATTTTGCTGCTAATGCACTGAAATGGTTGCTATGGGCAATCAGAGCTTGACAAAGCAAATAAGGTACTAGGAAAAGAAAGAAATGAACGAATAGATAACTAAAGTTCTTTCATGGCATGGAGGTCGCTTTAGGCCTGCAGAAATACCGTTTAAAAAACTACTTTCCATGTATGATTACAGACAAGGTAGAGAGCTCAGAATGATTGATGGGCCCTGAACTTTAGCCCCCTGAGTTCTCACATCTCGACTATGGAAACACACACGAATGTTTATTTTAAAACCTCTGCAGAACAGTTCCCACACCATTATCACTTTAGCACATTATTTCCTTTACAAGACCTTGTATTAACATAAGATAGGAAGGATAAGACAACTGTGTATCCTTCTATATGAGAACAAAATATCTTAGGAGTTACGACTGATTTAAAGGATGCTAAGAGAGGAGAAATGGAATTTGCAGAGCTATGCGCTGGGAAAAGCAGCTGTCACAAGTTGTGGGTTTTGGCTCGATTCAGTCAGAAAAGACATTTTAGAGCCGTTGTGAGTACGGGGCTGTGACAGAGGGATTAATAAGGATTAATAATTAAATCCCAGGGTGGTCCCAGGATAGTGGGCTGTTCCATGGAGGAGAGAGCCTGGGGGCTAGTGTTAAAATAAGCTGGGAATGACCTCCCTGAACCTCAGTTTCTTCATTTATAAAATAAAGATGATAACACCTCAGAGATTTACTCTGGAAGCAAAATAAACTAACAGCTGTGAGAGCACTTTGGAAAGGAAAACAGGGCACATTATGTAAAGGGGGGAATTACTATTTTCTTGGGGGAAATAATTTCACAAGTTGGAAGGAGAAGATTGAGACAGGAGTCAACTTTTGGTTATCCCTCATTTCACAGGCTAAGCAGGAAAGTGACTCCCAGCGCAAGTTCACGATGCCGAATGCCTTCGCCAGAACATTTTTGCTCTTCCTCTTTGCCAAGTGGGACCCTTTCCCTTTTAAAATATTCAGGATTCTATTGGGCGGGGTGGCTCACACCTATAATCCTAGCACTCTGAGAGGCCGAGGTGGGAGGATCTCTAGAGCTCAGGAGTTCGAACTGCGTCTCTACTAAAAATAGAAAAATTAGCTGAGCATCATGGTGCACGCCAATAGTCCCAGCTACTTGGGAGGCTGAGGCAGAAGGATTGCTCGAGCCCAGGAATGTGAGGCTGCAGTACGCTATGATGATGTCGCTGCACTCCAGCTTGGGCACCGGAGTGAGACTCTGTCTCAAAAAAAAATTCAGAATTCTTTTATGTAATTGACTCCCCAATCTATTGCATTGACATTTAACCTGTGTTCCCTTCTTGATAAGGAGTCATAAGACCTGAACCAAGGTCTATGATAAAACAGGAGACAGTGGAGAAGCCAGACAAAACTGGTTAGAAGCCAGACGGCCATGAGAAAAGACCTCAGGTTACTCTCCCCATTTATTATACCCTGCTTATGATACATTAGTATACTAAAAAATACTCCCGCCAGCACCATGACAGTTTACAAATGCCATGGCAACTCCCAGAAGTTACCCTATATGGTTTAAAAAGGGGAGGAACCCTCTGTTCCAGGAACCTTTCCCAGAAGTCTTATGAATAATCCTCTCTCTGCTTAACATAAAATTAAATAGAAAGTATAAAATAAGACTCTGGAAACTCACAAAGTGCTACTCTCTGTTACTCTGAGAGAGAGCCACTGACTTGTCTATGGGGCCGTCTCCCTTTTATTTCTTTTCTTACTTTAATAAACTTGCTTTTGCTTTACTCTGTCTGCTTGCTCTTAAATTCTTTCCTGCAGGAAGCCAAGAACTCACTTGGGCTTCAGGCCGAACCTCAGTTTTGGGGTCCACTTTCCTGTATCATCTTTCCCCAGCACCTAATGGGGGGCAAAGAGACATACTCACCCAGACCCCAAATTAAGACCATATGGCACCCCATTCTGACCTGACAGATGGAAGAGCTTTCCTTTGTCAAATCTGGCTGTTGCTCTGTGAATAACCAACATCTTGATATGCCCTCCGTAAATCCTGTGTTTTGTAATCTTTCACTTTCTAGTAACTGGACTGCATGCTTATGCTCATTCTGCTACTGTTACATATAGCTAACACAAAAGAAGATAGAAATGGAGCATAGAGGAATAAAAAGTCATACAGAAAATAAATAGCAAAAGGACAGATGCAAATCCTTACTTATCATACTTACGTTAAATGTAAATGAATTCAACACTACAATGAAAAGGCAGAGATTTGCCTCGTAGATAAAATATATGATTTAACTATGTGGTGTATCAGAAACACAGTTTATATTCAGAGACACAAAACAATATCATTTACAACAGCATCAAAAATATCAGAGACTCACAAATAAATCTAAAGGAAGATGGGCAAGATCTACATATTTAAACCTATACCAGATTACTGAGAGAAAATTTTTAAATACCTCATTTAAAATATCTAATATTACCATAGTGTATCACTTTCATGGGTTGGAAGGCTCAGTGTTGTAAAGCCGTTCTCCCCAATTTGATCTATAGATTTCATGCAGTCCCAATTTAAAAACAAAACAACAACAGCATTTGTAAAAATTACAAGGTGATTAACAAAATGTATATTAAATGCAAAGGGCCCCAAAGAGCCAAACGGTCTTTAAGAACAAGAAAAAAATGGAGGATATATAATATTCAATATAAAGACTTATTATAAAGTTATAGTAATCCAGACAGTATGGCATTGGCTTACTTCTATTCTGTGAAATAAAGGACTTCAGAAATATACAGAAACATAATTAATCACTTGATTACAGTGCAGAGGGAAATTGTCCTCTAAACAAAGGGTGGTGGGTCAATTGCATATGCACATAGAATAAAAATCAATCCCTACTTTTCACTTTTTAACCATACACTAAAATTAATTCCATAACTATGGTAGATGTAAAACTGAACGTCCAAAGAATAATCTCCTAGAAGAAACACAGGAGAAAAACTTCTATGTTTTGGGGTAAGCAAAGATTTCTTAAACAAAAAACCAATCACAAAAGATTGATAATGTAGACCCATTAAAATTCAGACCTTCTATTCCATAGTAGATGCTAACAAAAGAATGGAGAGGTAAGCCACAGAATGTGAGGTCTTTGCGATACATACATCCAACAGATGATTTCTATCCAGAATTCATACAAAACTACAAATTGATTACTAAAAGATAGACCATCAAATGGGCAAAATATTGGGACAGACACTTCACAAAAAGGGATATTCAAATGGCCAAAAATTTTTGAAAATTTTATCCAATTCATCAGGAAAATGCAACTCAAAACCACAAAGAGATACTATAATATTCCCACCAAAATAATTAAAATGAAAAAGGCTGACAATGCCAAGGATTGGAAAGGATTTGGAACAGCTGTAACTTTCACACAGAGCTGGTAGGAGTTTAAACTGGTACAACCACCTTAGAAAACTTTTCGCTGAACAAATACATAACCCTGTTCAATCAAAGACATGTACAAGAATAGTAATAGCATCCCTCTTCACAATAGCTGAAAACTGGAAACAATTCAAATTTCCATCAACAGTAGAATGAAAAAATGTGATATAATCACATATTAGAATGCTACGTAACAAGAATGAATGAAACACAAGATGAAAATGTTGTTACACTCAAATAAAAATTTCTAAAAATGAAATGAAACACAAACACTTACTTTGCTTTCCATTTTCCTGCTGTGGCGAGAAGCAAATTCTGCTGGCGTTGCTGCTTTCAGTTTGGTTTCTAAACTGGGAGCATCTGAGGAAATCGGGCCAGCTGTAATTCACCATCCCCAGGATTGACTCACAGCCTTCTTTGGCTGCCTCACAGAAGGACCTACAGGGCAGGAGTTCATGCCTAGAAGAAAAGGGAAAGGGGAAAATTAATGTCTTCACAAAACACTTCTTGAAATAGTAATGAAATTAAAGAAAAGTTGGCCACCAGTGCTGTAAGATTATTTTAATTTATATTTACTATAGTCAACAACTTAACTTTCTATGTTCAGTCCTTTGATGATTTCAGCCACTCTATTATTGTCTTGATTCTAGAAAGAATAAGCTAGTTCTCTAATATATCATCTATCTCTTGTAGAAGAATTTATCCCAAATAATTTTTTTCTCAAATATTTTTTTAAGTTACCTGTCCTAAAATATACCTGTCAGCCAAAAAGAGCTCTATTTAATATCAAAAGAGGAAAATTAACATGAAAATGAAGGCTACCAAATTGCAAAGGCAGACGTAGGTCACAAAGAAGTTATTTTCATATTTTTATTATCCCTTTGAGAAATTCAAAGTATTTCCAAAAGGCAGACAGAGAGTAAACTGTTCCTTAACTTCCCTAACCCCCCTGGAAAAGAAACATTATACAGACAAGTAGAAACTTGGAAGACCTTGTACAGTTATTAATCTTCTCAGATGTCTAGTCTGTCTTCTGCAAAGTAGAAAAATGCAAACAATTGTCCGTTAATGGTAAGAGTAATGATGCCCCTGGAACTTGTCTTATTCACTGGACATGCAATCAACGCCCCTTGATCCATTGCTCTGTGAATGAAGACTAAGATGCTAATGATGCCAAGGCCATTGCATCTGTTTCCTTGCAGACCCAGGTGGCCTCTTCTACTCTACAGCTACAGGCTGCATCTCTTGCCCTGGCCGGTCATCAGGTAAAGGCATTTCTAATAGTTTTATGGAAACTGCACATGTCAGTCAAATCAAAGCATATGCTTCACAAATGGAGAGTAAATAAGATACCACAGAATCATATAATATTAAGTCTGCAAGAAACCTTAAATGACACCTCATTCAAACCCTTCATTTGAGACAGGCCCAGGAAGATTCTGGTGCAGACTCAAGATCACACAGCTCCCCATGGCAGAGGCAGGAACACCTACTCTCCCATATCATCTCTGCTCATATAAGGACCTAGTAATTGGGCTTTAAAATCTCCTTGGTCAAACAAGCACATTTAAAATATCTTCTTCATGCTTCTTTAGATTACTGAAACAGGAGATGTGCCAGCCATTGAGATAAAACAGAACCCATAGGGTCTGTAAAAGATTCCTAGGGGAGAGATCTTGTCATACATAAAAATGGAAAAGGGGAACTCAACAATTACATTCGGATAAAAATATTTGTGACTTTCCTCTCAAAAAGTCACCTTAAAACTGAGCATCTTTTAGGATCCTGATATTTACATAATTATCCACATACATATGTAAGTGGATTTGATAGTGCAGATGTGGAAACAGGTTTTGCATTTGAAAGAATTAGTTTTAGGATATCAAATATGAACTGGTCCAGGAAGTATCTTGGTACAAACAAGATACCTGTCTGCCGTTCAGGAAATACTTACAGACCAAGTATCACTTAAATAACATTTTTAAAAATATTTCCTGTCCGACATCTTATTCCAGAGAGGTTAGAGACTACATTTTCTCAAATAAAACTAAATACACAGTTAAGGAACGTGGAGAACATAGAATTCCTATGCAATTACTTAGCCTTTGCCAGGCACCACGCTAAGTGCTACACATGCATGACCTCATTTATTTCTCACAACGGCTCTTTGTTATAGGAACTGTGACTGTCATCTCTAAACACAAATAAGGAAACTGAAGCACAGGAAAAATAAGAGATTTGTCCAAGTTCACTGAGGTAATGAGTGTAGAGCCAGGATCAGAACTCGGGCAATTGGACGCAAGGACTCACTCTATTAACTACTACCCTACAGCAAAGTCCTAACTTCATGAATGCATGTTTCAAAAGCACAATTCAAGGACAGTTTGAAACCTGACATGCACTTTCCCAGGGGCACAACCATATACACGGTAGTTGGAATTTCCCTTCCTTCTACAGAATCGTGGTAAACCTGGAGTGAATCACAGCATCTGCCAAAGGGACTAAGGAACACATGGAAAGGGTGTAGATGTTTCTGCTTTCTTTTCTAGGCGTGGGTCAGCCCACAGTAAAGCTATAATGCAAGCCAGCCTTGTCCTTAGCATTCCTCCTTTGCCTCCTAGTCTGTGACCAGCGTCCCAGTGTCTCAATATTATCCGGACCACCTCGACACCTACACCCCACCCAGACGGCCACCTCTACCAGAGTACTCAAAATATATTCTTCCCCTCCTGCAATCAAAGCTGCGTTCCCAATTGTAGCTGGTATCAACTTGGCTTTCAAATAAGAAAAGAGATGGAAAAAAACACAGAGGAATACATAATAATAGATGGACACTTAACCCTCCCTGAGATTTTTTGCATCTTTAGAAAAACACTGCTTGCTAGGCAAAGGACTCTCCAATTGATGACATTCCAGTTACTATTTAAAGGGGAAAAAATCATCCGACATTCTCTGAAGTCGGGGAAGATCTATGCAAAGCTGAAGAACACTTGAGGGCCCAACTCTCCCAAGTGGTTCCTGGACATTCTCCTACTTCTAAACCCACCTATTTTTGGGATCATTCCATATCTTTTCTCAGAATCTTTTAGGGCAACAGCAGTGAAGTTTCACACTGGGTCCAGCAGACTGTTTTCATGTTCCAAAGTTAAGTCTCTAACTCGGAAACCGACTCATTATCACCGATTCTTACCGAAAATCCTTAAGTCTATCACCCCACAACTTTCATGTGGCCACTCCTCCACTGTCTGGTCTCAGGCCAACAATTCACTCGTGCCAAGACTCAGTTTCCTCATTTAAAAAGTGAAGGGTTTGGAAGATCTGGAGTTTGTACCATTTTTCATGGTCCTTTTACCACTAACATTCTCTAAATCAAAATTCATTCTTTAAGGTGAGATTTCTCAGAAGAGTACCGATGATCCCGCCAGCTTTGCTAAATATCAAAACGTTAAAGACATTTTTCTTGAGATTTGTTCTGAGAATATACAGAGACATTAAAATACCATTAGGCCCTCCATTCTAAAAATAGGGCCTAAGAAAAATGTCTAGAGTGTTTCCAAATAGCTCTCTTAAGAGGTGTAACCAACTGAGACCCACAAGTTTTAAATTGCTGGACCAGGACATGTGCAATAGTGATAGAGTATTAATAACTAGCAGCCCTTGCAAAGAGAGAGCAAAATGAGGAGCCATTTGTTCTTGTATTGCATGAAATTCAACTGCCTATGAAGCACTGAAGTATTTTGCTTTTCATCACTTTGAACAGTGTGGTGAGACAGGCCACACTATTTTGGAATATGCATCTATATCCAAGCAACAAGCAGACTGACAACTGGAAAACAGGGCTAAGCACAGGGACGGAGTCCACTTTGGCTATCAGAATCCTATTTTAGAAATGGTGATTATTTTAAATTGATGTGTGAAGTGCATTTGGTGTTGTGCAAAAGTCCCTAGCACATTTCAACTAAAGTTAAAGCACAAAGTTCTTATACCACTTCCAATAATTATTTAGTAATTATTAACTACTTATTGAAACACTCGATAAGTGTATAAATACTACAATATAGTATAGTGATAGTGAGGTTTTTGTGGTGTTTTCACTAGGAAGGATATTCTAAAATGATTTATCTGCCAAAAAATTGTACAGTTTACCTCTAAAATTAGTAGAGAATTTACCTTTCAAAAATCTTGTCAGGATGTATCTACCAAAAAAAAAAAAAAAAAGTGCAGATTTTATCTACCAAAAAATGTTCTGATGAGGACATGAAGTTAAAATTATTGAATAAGCTACTGCCACAAAGCAAGCTTATACAGCTAATGGATTTTTAAGTTTTATAAATCATTTTTTCCTAACCTTTTATTTTGAACTACTTTTAGACTTACAGAAAAGTTATTTAAAAGTACAGAAAGTTTCCATATATCCTTTATCTAGGTTTCCTTAAGGTAAACATTTTACATAACTATGGTATAATGATTAGAACCAGGAAATTAGCATTGATATAATACATTTAACTGAACAAAGGACTTTATTCAAATATTGAATCTCCATTCAAGATCCCACATCGTATTTAGTTGTCACTTTTTACTTTTTGCGAATAAACAAAATATATTAGGTGAACTAAAGATTTAAAACTCTTTCTTCATGAAAAAAAAGTCTTTGTGACAGGCAGACTCTAAGATAGTCCCCGGTGCTCTCTGTCTCCTGGCACTCATGCCCTGGGTGTGTAATCCCTTTCTCTGGAGAGTGGGCTGGCCTAGTGACTTACTTCCAACCAACAGAAGGTAATGGGATGTCACTTGCATCATTAGACTACATAAGATTGTGACTGCTGTCTGGTTAGGAGACTCACTCCCTACCTGGCATTGATGAAGCAAGTTGTCATACTGGAGAGGTCCACACGGCAGTACCTAAAGGTGGCCTCTGGCCAACAGCCAGCTAGGAACTAAGGCCTTCAGTCCAACAGCCCTTGAGGAGCTAAAATTCTTCCAACAATCATGAGCTTAGAAGTGGATCTTTCCACAGTCAAGCCTTCAGATAAAACCTCAGCCTGCCAACACCTTTATTAAACCAAGTGACAGACCCTGAAGCAGAGGACCCAGCTAAGCAACTCCCAGATTCCTGACCCACAGAAACGTGTGATAATAGATGTGTGTCATCTGTATCCATATAACTTGTTACACAGCAATAGGTAGCTAATACACTCTTCTTTGACACATCATGTTGTCAGAGGCATGCTACTAACTTAGAAGTCCTGCTCATTGACGAGACTCACACAATTCTCTCTATAGAAACACATCCCTAAATCTGTCTGTTAGGCTGAGCTGTTCAGTGAACAATACTCACAAAGTCATAGCCACAGGCAGCTCCCAGAGCTGCAGACCTTACTTAGCCATAGAGACAATGTTAATGTTGGAAGTGTCTTGCAAGATAATCTACTCCCATGTCCTCCTTTCACACTGTGAGG